GCACTGCTAAAAATAACCAGGTTTTTTTTGAAGCGTAAACCAAACATTTGCCACATAAATAATAAAAACAGAATTGCTGGCGATTCTGTAGCTGTGCACTCTGACTGGTTTCACCACTGTCAGCTGATGATAAACAAGTCAGTACCATGACAGCGTTTTCAGCCATTCATCATCATCACAGTCACCCTGCAGGATGTTGCTGCACCCAGCGTCTGTAACCCTCACAGATCCTTGTCCATCAGGCCTGACTAAAGCCACCTAAGAGGCTTTGCTAAGCCAAATCAACTAATCACAAAGCTGCTACAAGCCTCCTCCCTCCCTAATAATATGAGATAATTAGTCAGGTAGTAGGGTGGAAAAAAACTACAAAATGTGGACAGCGTTCAGAGCTGAAGATGGGGCTTGTAGTTTGCTCCAGAGCCTGCCAACAAGCAAAAGCGAGCGCTCACTCGCAGCAGAGGGGGAGCACCTCCGAACAAGTGGGTGCTCCCAGGCTGAATGAATGAATGAACAGAGGGCACTTCTTGCACCCTCATGTGCTACCAGGGTGAACACACAGCCTTCAACCAGCAGACTCCTTCGCTGGGTCATCAAGTGAGTCATTGTGGAAATCGCCTTTGACAACAGCAGCTTGTTGCTCTTTGAGGAATGTTTTCCATTTCTTCATCTGAAATCCCTAAAGTCCCCTCCATGGGGAACTGGCAGAGGGAAGGAGAAAGAGAAAGAGAGCACGAGAGAGAGAAAGAAAGGAGGAGGAGGAGGAGGAGGAGGAGGAGGAGCAGGGTGCAGTGGGGAAGACAGAAAGGCTTTGGATGGAGAGGATGGAAAGTTTGGAGAGTGTGGGCCTATATTTAATTCAAGTAGCCTGGCAACCGATGAGCAACAGGGGAGAAAGAGATGGAGCGCAGGGGAGGGACCACACCGGGTGACAGCACGACAAGTGGATCGACCGAAAGATGGCCCGTTTACAGAACATTCAGCGAATGTGAGCCGGTCATGAGTAGAGCTGCAACGACTGAAAAGAAAATTCCAGTTCCTGAAATGTGAATATTTTCTGGCTTCTTCACTCGTCCACCGCAGTAAAGTGAATATCTCTGGGTTGTGGACAACACAAGACATTTGAGGATGTCATTTTAGGGTTTGGCAAACACTGATCCACATTTTTCACCATTCGCTGACATTTTCTAGGCCAAGCAACTATCTGGTAAACCAACAACAATCATTAGTCATGGGGAAGCAGCTTCATTAACTCGAGGAAAACTCCACATCAGTGTGAGCGTGCGGGCCAGCTGATCCAGCTCTCTGCTCCAGCAGGCAGAGGAATGAAAACCACATCTTTTAGTAACTCTTAGCAGTTAAATCCATCTGACATCACCTTCACTTTATGTGATGAGACAGCAATGTGTTTATGACACCCTGTGTCACACAAGCGGAGGAAATGCTGCATCACTGAGGGCTTGTGTGACAGTGATGTTGTCCAGGCTGCGCCTCAGTGTTATGATGAAGTCAAGGGGAGGGAGGGACACCGAGCTGAGCTGCTGTGAGGCTGGAACATGGGACCAACTAATGCAACAACCCACAAACTGCAGACATGAACCTCAGATTGAACTATTCTCCATGTTTCTGACTTAGTCTGCACAGTGAGACCTGTTGATCAGATGATGAGAAACTGTCTGAATCCAGTAACTCTGTTTTTGTGACACTCCACCAATGATTGTCAGTCACGGTGCCAGTCACAATCTATTCACGTCTAAAATGATCCCACAGGCTCTGTGTGACCTGTTTTCACGGTCTGCTGCCCTCCTGTCCGCTTGTTTGCTCCAAAAAGAAGCTGTAACTGACTAAACACACGAGCAGCCTCCCTCAGTCCGTCCACAGGCCAGAACTACTCCAACGAACCTCCACATCCGAACTACTGGGTTCAGTCTGAGCTCCAGGAGCTGCTGTGTTCACAGTAACTAGTAAGTTAGATGGAGATTAACAGCACTCTTTAGTTACCGTAGGTTCCCGTTAATGCCTCTTGGCTGCGGGATCATTAACGGATCAGCGGCTGCCGCTAGTCGAGCGACAGTTGGCAGCGACTCGGCGGTGAACTCGGAGACGAACAACAAAGTTGAGCGTGAACCAGTCCAGACTTCCTACCTGGTGAAGCGCTGTCAGTCCGTCTATGTTGGCGTGGTTGATGTCGGCTCCCTGCCGGAGCAGCGCTGAAACCTCGTCCCGGTCCCCGGCGGAGCAGGCGGCCATAAACACGGCTCCTTGGTTGAACCGGACTTTCGCCCGCCGCGTCCCGGAACCGCTCAAGGTTTCCCGGGCCTCCGAGCCCGTCCGGTCCGTCTCTGAGCCCAGCCATCGCTGCAGCTGATCCTGCCGTCGCTGCTTGGCAGCTTCGGACCGGGAATGGTCAGTGGCCGCCATCTTCCCTGGTCTGTCCCGGACAGATTCAGCTCATGGTACGAGCAGAGGAGCCGAGTGCGGGGTTTGGATTGAGCCTCCTCCGGGCTGCGCCCCCTGGTGGACGGACCGGGGCCGGGGGCGAGAACTCATCAGCGAACTTCTGACTGAGTGGCAGTGCTGCGCTGCCTTCAGGTGCTGCTCCGAAATTTCTATTCTTAAGGGAGTGTCGTGTGTGACCTTTGTAACTCCACTGGGATTGTTTTCTTTCTTTCTTTCTTTCTTTCTTTCTTTCTTTCTTTCTTTCTTTCTTTCTTTCTTTCTTTCTTTCTTTCTTTTTTTCTCCTTTTATAGGCTTGCTGTCAATGATGTCATATCTTTTACTGTCTTTACTCTGTGCCTTGCCATCTTATATATAATTTGTGTTAAATTATTGTTTATTCTTTTAATGTATTTATATTGAAGTTCTGTGTTTTGCGTTTTGTATCTTTTACTGTGCTATTACTTCAATTTTTTCTTTATGTTCAAGATGAATGGCTTTCCGTACATCCTCTTTTTTTGGTTTGTCTGAAAATACTTTGTATACTCTGCTTTCTTTCTTTCTTTCTTTCTTTCTTTCTTTCTTTCTTTCTTTCTTTCTTTCTTTCTTTCAATGAGATCTCAAAAGTGTCTCTTTAGGGCAGACTTGGTCATTCTTACAGTGGCTATCACAAACTGGAGTGCATGATTTATTTCTGTTTCAGTACTTTTATTTTAGGTGATATGGTTACATAGAAGTCCTGATAGTAAAGCTTTGTTAAACCTTGATACCTTGTAAAACAGCTTTCACAACCGACCACAGCTGATAAGACTCTATGTGATAAGTTTTGCTATGTTTTGTGAGCAGAGGCGGAATCAAGGCTCGGCCCCCAAATGGAGTCACATCCTGACCCTCATGTCAATGAAACTGCAATATCAACTGTTAAAAAATCTAAACTTTGAACAACCATCTCAGATGTTTTTTGCTTTTTTATTTTCATAAAACAATGGAAGTTAACATTTTTTAAAAAAAGTTTAATATTTATTAGTCCTTGTGCTTGCGTAAGCAATTGGTAACAGCTATTTAAAAATGATTTACCAAGCAGGAAATTATTATTTTTTAAAGTAAATAAAAAACAAATAGACTAAGATTCTTAAGACAAGAAAGCTTTTCTTTTACAGATTTTGTATGCCACAGCAATTTAAGAGCTACTTTCTCACAGAGATATGCGATGAGGTTACCAGTTCAGTTCAAGTCATCTCAGGGCACTTCACACACTATGGCTGAGGCCTTACTTTATTATATGTTTTAAATAGGACTTCAGGAAATCCAGCGATTCCCTTTAGTTAAGCACTTGCCAACAGTGCACTGATAAATGTACCATCAGTAAGAATACATTTGCTTCTACATTACAAATGTACTATAAATTACACATACTGAGCAATGAATTCAAATGGTGACATGTGGTTATAGAGGTGGAACCACATACATCTTTCCAAAATCTATTACTAGATTCATGAAGCAAAACAGCTACTAGTGGTTATTATGGAAGGTATGACTTTATCATTGCAGCCTCTTATTTTCTGAGGAGAATACAATCAAATTTAGTTTTGGGAAACATAATAGTAAAATGAACCTCGAAAGCAGTCCAGCTTTACTTTTCAAACTGACATGTCTTTTTTTTTTTCAGATTTGATGGTTTATGTTGCTTCTTTCCATTGCCATCCAACTGTAATGTAGTCCATAAAAAGGCTACATTATTTCTGGCCTTCACATTCAGGTTCAGTTCAGGAATATTTTGTAAATACTTCTTATTTAGCTGGAATAATTTGGGAGCCTGCCATAAAGTCCTCAGATCCCTGCGCCACTGTTTGGTCACTGCTGGGTATATTTACTGTTCCTTCTCTCTGTGTACTTTTCATGGTGAATCACAGATTTTCTGGTTAATGTGAGAATAATTGTTGAAAACACAAAGGTAATGTTATGCAATACCACTTTATTTCATGATCACATAAATATGATCCCCTGTTACATTTTTACGATATGTTGTATTCACTTGGCAATCATTACGTGAAGTTTAAGGCACAACGTGGGGCTTGATCTAAGAGAGAATATTGTACACAGTACAAGAGAAGCATTTATATAGGTAGGTTATTACCTAAGAAGAAGAAGAAGTAAAATTAAAAGCAAACTGATTATTTGATTAATTAAAAATCACACATTTGATTGACTGTAAATGCAGTAAAAATGTAATATAGCATCAAAGCTGTTGTTTAAAATATTTCTAAGCACCAATTCAAAACAAAAAAGATTAGAAAATCAATTCCAAAAGAGTGGTAATTTACATGTAAATCACAATGACAAGACACAAGAGTCTATGATTGCAAAAAGTAAAGAAGTTTTGTACTTTACATATAAATAATTGTTGAGACATCAGATCTTGGCATTAAGACAAACATAGAAACACAGAGACAGTGTGTTTTTCACAACAGTGCATGGACACTTGCTTCACATAAATGGAGTAACGACTTGTACCAAACAGATTTGTGCATCCGTTGTGTGTTTTTTTTTTTGTTTGTTTTTTTTCTCTCCAGTCCTACACTGTCTGTGTAGCTGAAACAACTTAAAGCTCATAACCGGATACAGCAGGAAAATGCTGCCTAACTACTGGTCTGACTGCATTCCACTAAAAACATAAACACTCGTCTATTTTAACCATACTACTTCAAGTGCGCATTTTTGTTTGTAACATCCTGTAATTCAAGTTTGTACATGACTGAACACATGTGCTAAGTCTAAATGCACTTACAGACATACTTACTGTCTGTGGGCCTGCATGACTGTACTGTAGTTAAAAACGTATTTCAGGGTCATGCATTAATCCAGAAATATTTAATACATACTAAGTGTGTTTATTACCACTTCCAACCACAATAGAAAGGGGCTGATTAGATCACAAAACAGAAAACAGATATTAAAATCTGATTTAAATTGTCTAAAAATGTTTCTGGCTCTGGAATAAGTATCTGGAATCAGTGCTGCAGTAACAGAAGGTCTTAGGAGATGCTCAGAGCTTCTCCAGAGTTGGAATTTTGTGCATCGTGAGGCCTTCTGGGGGGAGGCTAGGTGGAGGGCTGTTGTCTGGTGACATTACCCTGGTTTTGAAGGAGCCCTGCAGGTTCATGTTGATACAGAGGACTCCAGACAGCAGCTGCTTCTTGTAGTGGTCGAGACGTCCGAACACATCCTGGACTGGAGAACCGCTTCCGTTCACCCAGGCGGGAAACAGGTTGGTAGAGCTGAAGTGGGATGGGAGGGCCTGGTAGTGGTGCAGCTCCAGCTGGCACAACAACCTGGTGTTTATTAAGAGCATTTACCAGCATACAGAGGCGTGAATAAGGAGTGAGCTGCAACAGTTTCACTTGCTGTTATTCACGCAGGTATAATAGATATCTTATACCAACAATGCATTTAATATCAATGTGTAAATGTGAAAGTGGTTGTGATGAACCTCCTGAGAATGATCAACTCAATCTAGTTTTTCTGCTTTGCTCAGCATTATATCAATAACTTAAATTTGTTCTGTTTTTTAAACTCTTAAAGTGTCGTATTTAGCCGCAGGCAGCTGTTTTCAGCAACAAGCTCTAAAAAGCCACTGCACGTGACCTGCTCAGAACTAAATGCACAGCTAGAAACTCAATAAACAATAGAGTGAAGACATATTTCTATCTGGAGATGGTAGGAATCAAAGCTAAAGGAGAGCAAATATATTTTAATGGTATACTTTAATTTGTGACCAGACAAACCCCTCTGACAGGATTAGAATGTTGCTGTGTAACTGCTGAACATGTACATAAGCAACAATTTGGAAACAAGTTTAATTGATCGTCCTACAAGAAGATTTCCATCATAACTTGTTTCTTTTGCTCCCTACTTGTTAAAATAATCAATAATTGCAGGTTTAACCAGGTTGAAATCCAGCCATGTTAATGTAGATAGCAGCTTGAACCAATAATGGATGTATAATCATGACATTGTAACTACAGTCTGTAAATATGTGGCATAAATCGGCAAATGAAACTTAAAGTTGAATGTATGTGTAATTGCGTCGTTAACTACCTGGCAGATACATTCCGGGAAATACTTTTGGAGGTCTGGCGAAGAACGTGCTGTAGGACTTTCATTATCTGCTCTCGAATCCACCCCACATCTTCCTGCACATCTGGCAGCCACTCCAGAAGTCTACACACGGGACACGCTATTGTCAGTCAACTGACAGTAGGTTTTTCTAGCGATTGTAAGATAGTGGCAGTGCAGCAGCTTCTGCCACAACCAATAAAACACAGTTCAAATGTAATTAGTTCCAACAATCAATAAAACCATCTAGAAATCAATTTAAGCTACTGCATTTACAAAGCTCAAACAGACACACAGTGCAGATCAAACATTGAGGGAATGGGAGCAGGTGTAATTAAGTCCTACAGCACCTGAGAGTCAAGGACATGGCAGACTCCAGAGGGAGAGTGTAGGGGAGCATCATGGCTGAGGCCATCCTGACAGGAAGCGTGTTGCCTAGCGACTGCGCCAGGCTCCTCCTCTCCATGCAGGCCTCGACCAGAGCTGCAGAGGGAGGCAGAGACACACAATTACCCTCATTATGCAAAAACTAGTAATGCACTAAATAGAAGATGTGTGTTACAGCATATCAAATGGATTATTTAGTTCGGTTCACTTCAGAACATAATGTTTTCTGTCTGCGGATCATCTCCTTGTCCCACTTAAATGCACAAATGCAGTATTCTTCACCAGTGAAGGTTTGAAAAGGAAAAGTACTGTTGAGCAGGAACTGGGTTAAAAACACTCTCTACAACAGGGGCAATGGCACAGTTTCAGGGCAACTACTTTCAAATGTTATGCTTCAAATTACTGATCGTTCTGAATCTATTTATCGTACTTCCCCAGCAGCCACTGTCTCTGGTCTCCTTTTAGGAGCAAGGAATTACACTGTTTGGATTATTCTGGCTAATATACAAAATTAAATGTAAAATGGAAATGAATGCATTAGCTTTTAACTGCAAAAATTAAGATATAGAAAAAAAACCTAACAAATGTGACACTATTTATGTAAAAGGCTTCAGTTCTGATGATTCAGCCTGACATTGTTTTAGTCTGTCAAACCAACACATTAAACCTGTAATTACTTAGCAGGATAAAAAAACCTAATTTGCTTTGTCACTACACCCCACATAAAGAGTAAACAGCTGGGAACACAGTGGCAATGCTGGAGATGGCGTAGGCACAAAAATGCCAATCAGTCACTTATTTGTTTGGTTATGTAAGAAAAGATGTCCGTCTGGGGACAAAGAAGCTCAGACTGTGGGGGAGATTCTACGCTACAGGATTCCCAGGAAGCTCATGATTGTGTATCTGGAATCAATACGAGATAGTATGATCCAGAAGGACACTTATCTGTTTAAAACTGACACTAGCTTGTAAAAAGGTAATTTCAAGGCACTGACTGAATGCAACTCCTTAAGCTCAGGACATCGGCTGGACGCTTTGAAAATTCTGGGGGAAATGAACTGTAGAAGCAATGAAAGACAACTAAGTTATCTAATTTAGGTCATTTGTAAGTCTGAATAAAATACTGTTTAAGGTAAATAAATAGAAACTGGTGTCTGCCGACAATGCTGGTTGAGTACTAGATGTAACTTATGGTACAGATGCTTCATATGAAGCTACATCTAATCCTTCTTTTATCATTTCTCTGTGTAAGTCCTACAGTCATGTTACCTTTGTGCAGTTTGGGTGGGAGGCATTCGATGATGTGCTCCTCTGTTGAAGAAGTGGTGTAAAACACCACCGATTTTGCTTCCGCGTGTGACTTGTCTTCCTCTTCACTTTTATTATCATCCTCCTCTTCATCATAATCCTCGCTTTCTTCTTCGTTAGCGAGCAGGGGTCTGTCTTTGTAGGGTCCGTTGACATTAAACAATCCTGAAAACAGAATAAAACTGTATTTAGATAGATACCGACTGCATATCATTGCTCAATTTATTAAATATAATGAGTTTTGAACAATCAACATACTTTTAAATGTTAAACCACGTTGACTGTGTGCTTAAACATTCCCTAAAAACAACAAGTATGTAACTACAGGAAGTAACACAAGCCTAATCACAAGAACAAGCAGTCTATTGATCTGGTGACATGGTTAAAGGAAGCATAAGTTCTGATAGCATATCAGGATGATACCGAATGTATGTACTAATATTTCCTGCCTCAAGGACAAAAGATCAATTAGGGTTGTTGGTATCAACTATTGGAAAAAGCTTTGAGATAAATCAATGACTCTTACCATTCCTCTTTAAAAAGTGTAGAGCATCTTTATATCCCTGTTTACACATGGCCTTCATAACCTGAATAAAAGAAGGATAAACAGATATTTATCTTTCATGAGGCAAGGAAGTCCACTGAGTTCACGCCAGTTTATCTGAGCAAATCAATGTATCTGTAGCGCTGTGCGGTTTTGTCTGTGTCTGTGTTTGGAAGGCAGTAATCAAATGACCTACCGCTGGATCTGGAGGGAAAAGTGCCCTGGAGACTCTGTAGAGGTTGGTGAGGGTGAACTGGATGCTTGTGTTGGTGAAACGCAACTCATGGATGTTGGTTGAAGTGTCTCGGGGGCAGATGTCGCTCTCTCCGGAGAACGGGGACACAGTGATAGTGTTCTTCAGCTCATACTGAGGCAAGTTGTCTGAGATTCCTCCGTCAACATATCGCTGAATGATAAAAGACAGACATTAGTGTCACAACAGAAAGAAATAGAGCACAGAAAATTCACTGTGAATCAGAGCAATGGAAAAATATTTCACCATACAGCAGTTACTAAACAGGACATGATAATAGTGGCATCGTATCCTGTGTGTGGACAAATGTTTGTTTGGAAGCGTACAGTGTGTATTTCAGATAAGACCAGAGTGACATCAGCTTTTTGAACTTGAGCCACTGTGGGGGACAGAAGGGACACAACAACCTTAAAGTCTGTGCCAACACAGTCACATCTGGCTCTGTCACTCTCTAATTGTGGTCACAAGCCTTGCACACACACAAGCACATGTAAGCTCCTAAAACTCATCACAAAGGCCACAGAGGGAGGACGAGACCGCCGGTATTGCTCAACGATATTTCCCAGAAAACCTTTGAGCTAGAAACATGTCCTGCAGCAAAAATACAGGCTCTATTTTCCCCCCCGTTAGTGTGAGCTCTCTGAAAAACACTAACTCCAGAGGAATTTTATAATCATTGTTTGCACACACGTGCTATTCAGAACAAACACATTCTTGGGGAAGGGAGGCCTCCGGTGGGCACAGTTACAGGAGAAAAACGTGCCAAAAGTAGGAACTACAAAACACAATGTGAGGAAACGCTGAATATAATTCAATCAAAGCAGCAAGTTGGGCTGACACCTCTCCAACAGCAACACCCTGTGTGTAGAGTTCATCGTTTGAACTCCATGCAAATCGATAAGTGTTTGTTTTACTAGCTGGAAAAAATAGGACACTGCCAGCAGGAGAAAAATGCACACTTAGTGAAAAACAGTGAATCTTCTCACCACTCCTTGCAGTGTAGGAGGAATGAGGCCACAGTACACTGGGATGTAGGCACTGCAGATGCATGCCTGAGGAACAAAAGAGATGACATAAGAAAGAGAGCTTGACAAATTAGGTGGATAAGAAATGCTGTTGTTGCACAAATTGTTGACTCACTTAAACAAAACTGAACAAAAACACACAAATATGATCATTAGGACAGAACAGTGACTAATCGTTGCAGTTCAATGATTCTGACGTTATACAAATATTGTGATAACATTATTCGGTATATTACAGCTGTATCATTATTTTACTGGTTTTAAAAAATGCATTACAATTAAATATAATATCAGTAAAATCAATTAGTGGTATATGTTTTTAGAATGTATTTGATCTAAGGAGGATTATTTCAAGAAATTGATTTATTGTGTACAACATATTAGAAAAGTATAATAAAATAATAAAACACAAAAGTCTGTCACAGCTTTCCAGAGTCTAAGGTTCTGGCCTGGTTCTGTATCAGTTATATAACAAAGAAAATCTGCATTTTGCTTGATAGTTGACTCAAGTTGTTATTAGATTGTTCTAAATTGTTGCAGGGGATTTTTTTTTTTGCCGACTGACAAACTGACTAATGCCTTAAGTTCTAAAATGTAATGTGCACTTTTCAAGATGTTGTGCATATTTAGAATCTGCAGGCACCCCTGGGCATCCCCAAAACAATGTCACCCTGTCAGTACTGAGGTATTAAATCAAATCTGTCCTGATATTTCATCATAATCAACCAACTCCATGGCATTGTATTGAGAAAACATAGTCTCGGATGCAGCGCGTACCTGCACCAGCTCCTCCTTGTTGTTAAATTGGGACACTAGGACATTTTCTCCATCTGTAACTCGGGTGAGAGAGATTCCCAGCCGCCCGCTGGCCTGATGGTGGCAATCATTTGGCAGATTGCGCCGCAGCATGTGACGCACAATCTTCACCAGGTTAAAGGAAGGATGCATGGGTCCAAGGAATCGCTTCCTCGCCTCTTTGGCAACCTGAATAATACTTGCACCAGTCTCTCCTGTAATAAAAAAGAAAAAAGAAAATGAAAAGTGTGGGAACTGTTGAGAAGTTTAGAATCAGGTGGACAACAGGGAATGATCAGGGATGGAAGGAAATCAATGTCCTTGTTACTAGAAATAACTATATTCAGAATGAAGTCTAAGTTTGTGCAATGCTGCTCTGTGTACATTAGAATCAAGAATTGAAGCAATGATATTTTTGATATCTCTCTATTTGGAGGACAGTGATCAATTCAATAAGTTGCTATGTTGTCAGAGTAGTTTCTAACAAGAAAAAATATCAATTTGTGGTGCATCACTGAGCTCAGCTGGTGTAGCATGTTCACTTAATGAATGGACCTCACTTCCATATTTATTCTTATACTCCAAAACATTTAATACAAGCAATGTGAGTCTCAAACTAGAGGCTCTTTTTGAGTGTAAAAGCACATTAAATACCCTAAAGGTACTTACCAAGACATACTTCAGAGACCAGAGTGGTGGCGGTGAGAGCTCCGGCTGATGCTCCGTATATGTGCCGGGCGTGTTTGACCAGAAAAGGCGCCTGATCCAGCAGACAGCTCGCCACTCCGACATGGTAGATACCGAGGAAGCCGCAACCTGCGAAAGAGATGTTCCACGGAGCGTCTAGGGGAAACATACCGGCGGTTCGGTCCACTGGTCCTGGGGTCGCAGGCAAATAATTTTTTTTACCACTTTCACGCTGGGATACTGACAACAAAAAAACTAGTACCCTGCCTTTAGTGTGGAACACCGTTCATATTTACAAATGCGTCCTCTTCACATGCTTTCTGACCCTCACTGGACTTTGCTTGCTAATTGTTTTTAGCCCCTCGCTATCAGCAGAAGTCACTTTCTTTTTTTAAAAAGTAGCAAGTTGAGCGAAAAAATACAAACAAAATACCCTCATGCCGAAAGTAAGCCCCGTTAGTGCAGTGTAATTAAAAAAACAGTCCTGCGCTTGTTAATATAGAGACGTGGGGAGTTGTTATTATTTTGCCTGTTTTGCTGGCGTATGCTGGAAGGAGCCGGCTTGTCCAATCAGAGTCGAGGTTGCCGAAAAAAATAGACCAATCGCAATCGTAAGCGGTGATGAAGTGACCAATCACAGTCGTCACCGCTGCAACACCCGAGAAGTCAGATAGCGGTCACTCACATTTCTGACAGCTGTCAAATGTTTGTCCCCAGGCGGAGTTACGAGTTTTGTTTTGTCCTTTCTAAATTTATCTGCCTGTTTATGTTCATATTTTTGACAGGAAAATGTCCTGATAGAACAAACTCGGCTGTATTGGGACTTTCTTACACAATATGTGTTATCTTTAGGAAGAATGTGAATTGATTCCCTGCTATGCAATACTGGTAAGATTAAGCTGCTGTTGACAGATCGATCAAAGCAGATCTGCAATGGTGCGTACTAGTAGTTGTACTGAACTTTTTAAAAAATTGTCGTTGTGACCATTCAATAAAAAAGGGCAACACTTTCAATGTTTATCAAGAAAACAGTGATTGAGAACGTATTCGCATTACTCTGCATTAGGATAACAGCAGGATTTTACTATTGTAGTTGGTTGAGGTGGAGCTTGTTTTGAACAGTTTTGTAACCAAGTGCTACTTGTTTTCATCATGGCTCAATCTGCTGAGTATTTTCCCATCTAACTGACTCAGTGTTTCTAAAAAAAAAAGAAGAAAAAAGTAAGCAATTCCATCACAAAAACTCACTGATTGATTATTCAAATAATTGTTTAGGCTGTACTCATACAGAATTTAGTGTAGGTTAATGTATCACACATTGTATTTTTCAGGTCCTTAATATGTTCTGCCTGCAAAAATCCTAACTTGTGGTGTAACTAACGCTGTCAAATAAATGCAGTGAAGTAAAAATATGATTTTTTTTTTCAGAAAGGTAGTGGAGTGGACACAAAAGGTGGCATGAAAAGAAAAGACGCAAGTAAAGTACAAGTACCTCAGATTTGTGCTCCGGACAGTACTTGAGTAAATTGCCATTGTTTTAAAAACTTTGTTCAGCAAGAAAAAATAGAATATGTTCCTATATTAAGGATTGACAAATCTGGCTCTTACAAAACAGCCAACTGCAGCACTGTTATAGTACTGAAATCCCACATCTCTACATTCTGCAATAACACTGAAATGTTTTTTTGTAACATTTCCTTGAATAATGTATTCACAGAATTACACTGCAAATAGTCACTTTATTGGGAACCGATTCAGATTCTGTTTAGGACATCATAGTTCTCTCGAGGGCATTGTGAAACCACCGTCAGTTAGTTCATTTTCTTAAAAAGTAAACCCCTGCCTCATCAAGTATGTACTAACTGTCAAAGCTTGTACCAACTGTTCCAGAATGATTCAGATCTCCAGGAGCCCCGTGTGGATTCATGTCAACTAAAGGTACTCAGAGAAGTGAAATGTGCCCAACCTAGAGATGACAGCTTCACCAAGAGGTTTTCTGAGGAATATTTTGTTATTGTACCCAAAATAGTTGACGGTTGACCTTTGGCAGAGTGTATCTGAATCGATAAGATTCTTTTCTACATGAGTGAATGGCTTCCACAACAGAGATGAACTTTTCACATCATTTCTTGAACAATATGTAACGCCGTTTTACTGATGGGTCAATCGCCCATGCATATAAGAGAAAAACAAGACAAGTAACCCTTTAAAGACAACTGATCACAATAAATAGATCAATAAAAATTCACAAGAGTATACTTTAGAAAGTAAGTCTTTGGGAGAGAGATGCATTTAAATTTTTTTGTTTGTTTTTTGGAGATAAATTGCTAATTTAATTTTGAACACTTTTTAACCCCCTGAACCCTAAAACTTGCTGGCGGGCTAGAAAGGAATGCTGTTTTTTATTTTTTTAAATAGCAAAATTACTTTATTTATCAGATTCAGAAACTTTAAAAACAGAACCTATCATCAGATCATTAACTTCCAAATGGTTTGTGGATGTATCATGTGGGACATGCAGTTAAGGCCAACAGTAATGTCACAAAAATTCAGGGACTTTTCGGGTGAACTCCAGGGAGGAGACAGAGAGGAGACAACAGTACAGACTGAGAGGAAAATAAGCTTCATCAATAAAATAAATGCATTGTGGTTCAAAAGCAGTGTACAGAGGAGCAAGCTGCCAGCAAGTTGTTCTAAAATACATTCAACATGATAAAATAGTAGTGTGACAAACAACTAGTTTGAAGAAGTTGTAAAGATATAAACAGGCTGAGCCAACAGCAATAGATGATCTATAGCAAGTTGAGCCCCAGATTGTTCCCCAATATTGGTAACATTTGTGGGCACTTGGAAAAATGGTGTACATCCAACAGTTTCATATCTTATTTTTTCTGTAAAACAAATAATCGCAGAAGTTCCACTTTTCTGTCTCTCTTTTCTTTTTTTTTATTTACACCATTATAACTTTGCTATGCTACACAAAAGACATTTTTTGAGTTCTCTCTACTTTTACCAAGGTTGTGCTGTTTCCATAGAGATGTGGGACTTTATATAGCTGTAAAAACATAAATAAATACAAATAAATAGCCCTCAGTGAGTAAAAATGTGACAGAGCATAAGAAGATGCCCAGAAGCTTCTTGGGGTTCAGAAGATTGAAAATATTTTTTATCATCATATTCACATGTCTTCTTGTCATCATCAAAACAAAAGCCAGTTTTGTGTTGGATAAATAATTTGTTCTAAAATTAAACTTTTAATAAATAGAACAACACTTTAGCAAAAAGAAAAAACAAAACACTCAACATTTTGAAAAAAAATTGACCTCAAGTAAGCTCGTTACGGTGTGAGTCATTTGCAGATGTTGTTTGTGGAGGGCAGCACATTGGGAAGCATCACAACAGGGCAGTAAAGCCGACTAAACAGCGCCACCCGCTGTCCGAGCAGGGACTCACCTCCCCCGGACACGTTGACACACTGTCCCGCCCTCGGTTGAAACTTTGGCGGCGATGACATCGATGCGCTTGTTGTTATACACAAGAACACCCGCAGAGGCGGGGCTAGTAACGCTAATCCGATACTGGCGATTTGACCCCTCCCGCTTTCTGCCGGTAGAGGCTGTAAAAAAAAACGAACGATAAACGGTGACGTTGCGCCTTCACTTTAAAAACGTTCGGACTCAAGGAAGTAGTGTAACAGAGAGGTAAACAATGCAACCCGGACACTATTGTTTCTCGTTATTTAGTAAAAAGAAACACAATAAGCAAGTAGGCAAAACGTAACGGAGCATAAAAGTCTACAGAGATGCTAGGAGAAATGTAACTTTTTAGCTAGCATTGATGTATTTATTGAATATGGCAATATTATACCGTAGCTGTCACTAGCTAATAACGTTAGCTACTGTAACGGGTTCGTCTAATTTATTTAGAAGACGTGATAAATACTGGTCGCTGCTTTTCATGGCTGTCGTTTAGCTTCATGTGGCTGTTATGACAATAAACGTAGTCAGTCATGTCACAGGGGACGTTACAGACATGTAGTAAGAAAACTTGGACTTGCAGGCGATTCAGCTAGTTAGTTAGCTGTCCAATGTGTCTTCAATGGAGAAAAGCAGCGAAAAAGATGCAGCTCCTGATGAAGAAAGTGAAGACCAGGCAGATGGCTGGGTAATGAAGCCAAACAGATCGGAGGATGGGGAGGTGGAGGTTACCCCTGCGTCCAAATGTGCAGGTCCAGACATGTCCACGGACGTTTTGGCTCGTAGACTTTGGGAAACACTTGTCACCGAGGATGAGGAGAAATCAGAGAGGGAGACTGGACCTACAATATCAAGCGGTGTGATGTCTGAGGTCCAGGCAGAAGTTATTGAACCAGAGAGAGATGCTCCCTCTGTGTCACCCTCCAGCCTCGTGGACACCTGTGATCCCTCCATATCAAGCCTCTCCTCCTCCAGCTGTCATCCCTCCATCTTCTCTTCATCATCCTCATCTTCCTCTGCTTCTGTCTTGACTCTCACCCCACCCCTGCCTCCTACTGTGGAGCTCTCAGCTGTGTTAACTGATACAAGATTGACCCTGGATGTGTACCAGGGAGGAGCAGCTGCTTTACCGCTGATATGGAGGTCCGTCCCAGATCAGCTGAGGGGTCTCCAGTACCTGAGACTGGGCTCGGAGGATAAACCAGGGCTGGATGGTGCTCTGGATGTCCTACCTCATCTGAAAAGGCTGCGCTCACTGGCTATTAGAGGTGCTTTTTTCATTCATTTTATGGATATAATATACCTGTTAACTTAGATGTTTTAATGGCCTGATTCACATTTTTAGTTGTTAGCCAAAGAAAAACTTCTACATGCAAGAGTACATAAAGTATAATCTGGATGTCATTTTGTCTTCTCCCTTGCTTCTAACTGCACATTTCTTTCTAATTAAAGGACACTGTTTTTATGACTCACAAGGTGAACCTCTGCCTGGCCTCCTCACTACTTTGCCCACATCTGTTTCCTCGCTCTCTCAGCTGGTGCACCTGGATCTCTCCTTCAACCAGCTTTCCTGTCTGCCGTCTTGCCTGCTTTGCTTGCCTGTTCTGTCCTCATTACTCCTCTGTCATAACCACCTCTCAGCTTTGCCTTCCGATATAAGCCGGCTATCCTCCCTCACCTACCTCTCCCTCCTGGGCAACGAGTTGCCGTCTCTTCCCCCGAGTCTGGGTCATCTGAAAGCACTACAGACGCTGGATGTGTCACATAACCTCCTCCAGCTACTACCTGATGAAATTGGGTCTCTGGAGGAGCTCGTTAAGCTGGAATTGTCCCACAACAAGCTGAGGCAGCTACCAGAGAGCATTGGTAAGGGAGTGAAAACACCACCAGAGAAATCAACTGGAATTCTCATTTTGTTCGTTAAATGTGTAATTACACTGACATAAAAAAAGGAGTAATCCTGTCTTCTTTGTTGCTCAGGCTCTCTCCTTTCCCTCAGGGAACTTGTCATCTCCAGCAATGACCTCCGCGTGATCCCACGTTGTCTGAACAAACTGCCTCTGCTCAAAATAGATGTCCGTGACAATCCTTTGGGACGACCCCCAACACCTCCTCCTCTGCCTCCTACACCTGGTGAGCAGAGAAAAAAGAACTTCACACTGATTTAAATTTTTATTACTGTGGTTGATAGATGCAGTATTTACAGTGGTGGGAAAAAAAAAGTCTTCAGACATCCTTTAAATTTTTTACACGATCTCAAATATTACCATGAAATATTTGTGGAAAAATAATTTTTTATTTTTTTGTTCATTGTTTACAAGAAAAACTAAAACACTAAAGTCTTGACAGTTTCAATATGTCAGTTCTCAACATCGTTGATATCAAAGTCAACAGATAACAGAGAACATGTTTAAAACTGAACAAAAAAATAGACAGACCATCACATCATCAAATTCATATTTAGTTGTCCTGCCATTAGCACACAGTCGAGCTCTGATCCTGGCTGTTATGTTCTCCACAAGTCTTTCACACTGTTGAAGGGTAATCTTGTCCCATTCTTCTTGAATTACTGCTTTTAATTCTTCTAAATTCTTTGATTTAGGCTTTGAAACAGGCCTTTTGATAATCCACCACAGATTTTCAGTGGGGCTCATTTCCAGGGATGAGTTGCCCTCTCAAAGACCTGTATACTGTGCTCCTGCAGCCAAGTTCTACAGGCCCTGGATGTGTGGCAAGGGGCATTATCTCGTTGAAACATCCAGTTTTGACCTCGATGGAACAGTGCACGTGCAGGACGGAGCATGTGGGTTTCAAGAATGGCACAATACTTGTCAGAGTTCAATGTGCCGTCACAGACAGTGAGATGACGTACACCAGCAGCTCTTATGCATCCCCAAACCATGATACTGCCTCCACCATGCTGGACAGTAGGTACGGTACATGCTGGAGAAAATGTTTCGCCTGGCCTACTGTGTACCCTCACATGAGCAGAAGAAAGATAAAGCTGGGAACTGGACTCAACTGACCTCAGAATATTCTTCCAGTTCCTGGCTGTCCAGTTCTTGTGTGCTTGGGCCCAGTGATGCTGGGCTAATGTCTGCCTTTCATTGAACAGGGGCTTCTTGACAGCCATGTAGGACCTTAAGCCATGATCTAAAAGTCGACCACAAACTGTGCAGCCGGAAAACTGGACACCAGTTTAGTTTGACCACTGCTGCTGAAGCTCCTGTGATGTCATTCAGCAGTTTTCCCTGCACATGCGAATCAGCATGTGGTCATTTCTTGCTGAAGAAACCCTTGGACGCCCAGATCTTGGTTTGTCTTCCAAGCTGTTGGTTCGTCTGTATTTCTGCAGAGTGTATCCAACTGCTGAAGGACTGCATCTGCACTTCCTGGCTATCTGGTGGCAGGTGTACCCTTCCTGGCTGAGAATATGTATCTTCAGGCATGTTTCCTGAATTAGGTTCCTTGTTTTAGCCGTTTTTGTCTCTGAAGAACGTTCAAAAGTGCTGGCTTTATATAGACACAAAGCACAGCAACCAAAATTGTCTTTTAATAAAAAGCACAACCTTCATCAGTGGATCACTGGTACCAAAATGACCCAATACTCAAAATTTCTTACGTACTTTTATGGAACCAATCAATTTTAAGTTTTTAATGGCTTTTTTTTTAAAGGATTTGTTTAGTATTTTGGCTGTGACTGTACCAAAAGAAATTACACTTGAAAACCCAACAGTGACTCTTATTGCAATATTTCACAAATGCATGGGGTGCCGAAAACTTTTTTTCCATCATTGTACATTTGCAGTCAGTATATTCATTCCATTTCATCGTCTTCTCACCAGATCGTGCAGAAACAAAACTTCCAGAGCTGCACCTCGGATTTAATCAGCACAGGTACAGTGTCACTCTCGCATGTTAATATTTTCTCATTATGTGAAGTAATATTGTCAGCCCAGACCTGCCTGGCGGTGTTAAAAGTGTCATGCTTCTTTTGCTCCATAGTTTCTGTGTTTCGTCTGCTGGGTGTCATGTGTTTCTCCCAGGGGGGGCTGAGCTGCTGTTCCCCCCAGGGTGCCTGGTGACAACTACAAGACTGGAGTGGGCTGAGAGAAGGCCTCAGAGAAAGTGGGTATGGCTGGAGGAGCATGACATACTATTGAGTCGTCCACTGGAACTTCGTCCTCATGGAATTACATTTTTAAAGGTATACAGAGAGTTAAAAACTGACCACATCTGTCAATAGAGTACATCAATCAAAGCAATCCCCAAGTATACTATGTAGCATTGAGTAAACATACAATATGTAGAAGCAGAAGACTCACTGATTTTTTAAAAATCTGCTGTAGCACTTATGGATATAATATGCTATTTCTGATCATTTTAATATTGACCCTGGGGCACAGATATATAGCTTTCATATTTCATGTCCTTTTATTTTTATTTGTCCCCTGAAATGCTATGGTTATTTAGTTAATTTGTATGAGCTTCACCATCAAACCATCAGATACCTCTGAGATATTCTTTTGTACATACATATATGTACAATAATCATTATTTTTGGTCTTTCAGCTGTTCTTTTTCACACTTACACAAGACAAATGTATTTCAACTTTGAAATCCTTACAGCCTGTGGAGGTGTGTGTGCCATATCATCGAACAAAAAGAAGGGACGTGGTGGTGCGGACGTTTGACGGACAGTTGTGGAGCACTCTGCCCACTGACCTACGAAGAGGGAGCGAGAGCCATAGCAGTCACCCTGGGGGACGTCCAGCCAGGGTAAAACCTCACACCTTGCACTGCAAAACAATAGTAATACAAATTGTAATGTTATTGTTGAAAAAAATGACTTCTTGTTATATCTGTAGCTGGCCTGCTGCTCAGTGAGTCACTTCTCCTGGTTTATGGTGGTGTCCCGTCCAGTAAAGAACAGTTGCTGTGTTACACCAGCTGGGGCCCTGCTGGTATCCAGTGCTGACCCTGGAGTCAAGCTCCACTTCCCCCCAGACTCCACTGTGCAGACTCGTACAGTAACTTTACAGGTAAAATTAGCGAACAGCAGTACTATATTTCAGTTTGTTTGCAAGATAATCTGCAAGGTGTTGGTCTCTCCTCATCTGTAGGTGCTGCAGGTGTCTGTGTCAGAGGTGCAGTCACTGTGTGGTGATCCTCAGGCGAGAGTCAGCCCCCTCCTTTGTCTCTCCCAAACTCCCAGCATTAATTTTTTGCAGCCAGTCAAAGTTCAGGTCCCTCTGCCATCTGGAGTCACAGGTACAATACACCATCCGGACTCTTACATGTGTATGATAACAGAATAGATTAACATGTATTAACATGCTGAGTGCTTCTACAGGCCATACAGTTGATATGTCCTGCTTGCATCTGCTCCATGGAGACCCCTCTGCCCAAACGTGGACTGACATCACATCACAGGTGTCTCTCTATGTGACCCATTTGTATGCCATTTTCTACATCTCACATTTCTCCTGGTAAGTTTCTGTAATTACATGAAGTATGTGTGATACACATTTTACACTGTGTTATTATACCTTTGCATTGTCTGCACCATCACAGGTACTGGCTGTGGTACACCACACGGCGCTGTGTTAGTGGGGTTGTCAGGAAGGTCTATCAAAGGCTAAAACAGTTTAAAGTTCAGTTCCTCGTCCTTCAGCGGAAGAATGATCCTTCACAAGTTCTACTTCAGTGCTTACCTGCTAACAAGGTTTGTAGTACTCCATTCTGTGTTGTTACTGTTTAGTTTAATAGCACTACTGACCCCACAAACAGCCATCCTGTCGTAGCCTCTGTGTGTGATGTCTTTGTAAAAATGTATGCCCAGATGCTAAGCAGCGATTGTGATGTTCCTTCACAGATAGAGGGCAGAGTGCAGTCCTTGTCAGAGCAGTACGACGGACCCCAGCCGTCAGACCTGTGTGACCTGCTGGAGGGAGAGCAGTTCTTCGCTGGCTTTGAGAGGGGCTTAGATATCAGCACAGGTCTGAAGTCCTCTTTGTAGTTCTATCTTAAATAAACATTTTTTCCCTTGCTCCCTTTCCCTCCAAGGTCTTATGATGTGCTGTTGTGTAATCATTTCCCTGACACAGCTATTTGCAAGAAGTCTAAAGCTGACATTGTCCTCTTTTCTCCAGACAGACCAGACTGTGTGGAAGGAAGACTGTGTTTTGTGTTTTATTCCAGCCTGAAGAATCTTAAGGAAGTGTACGTCTGTCCAGCTCAGGGTCAGAAGGGACCAGTGAGGGGACAAGTAAGACAAACATATTTCACAGCCACAATAATACTAATGTACTGTGCTCCATTTTCTGTTTGGACATGTATAGTTAACATTGTGCAATGTACATTTCCACAGTCCATAGTGACACACAAGGTCCAAGGACTACATGACCTACTGTATATTTCAGAAAACAATAAGTAATAGATTAACTTTCTAAATACAGTGCAGCAAATTCTACACAGTGTAGCCAAAACTTCAGACCTTTCATCTGATATTTTCTATATAATACAGAAAATATTTGACTTACCTTTCGACATGAAGTAGCAGCTATGTATGCTGATGATGTTTTCTTCATGATGAGCACACCAGAGTCATTTACACTGTACAGAAGATTAATTGGGATAAAAGCGGAGCCATCCCTCTCTACATACATATCTTTCAATCCGTTTGTTTTTTAAAACAAATGGGATTAAGTATTTTAGCATTGATTTTTTTTTTTCTCCAGCTATAAACATGTTTAATAATAATGGCCCCTGATGACTGCACTTAATGAATAATCATATGCACCATACCTTTGTTTCTATGGGGAAGAGTGGAAACACGAAAAATGCTGCTAACATGTATTATCTCCTCCGTGTTTCTACAAATTCCCTGGACTGGGCTCAAAGACATTAAATCTGTTTTTGTTTGTTTTCTGTGGAGCAATAAGAATCCAAGAATCACATATAAGAAAGCACCCAAGGTTTCACTGGCCTCTTTCAGTATTATCTGTCTTTTATGCCAGGTAAACATTGTGTTGATCCGGTATATCCAAATCTGAGACATGTCACTTAAAATATGTCTCTTCAAAACTCTTTGGTTCCACCCTGAATTACCTTCAGTAGATGATTATGAGGTAATTCAATCTTCTGTTGCAGTCCACACCTTTATTGCATGTTGTACCCCTCTTTACCCACATTTCTCTCTCTCTCTCTCTCTCTCTTGACTGTCACTATCTAATTAGAAAGCCCAAAATAAATCTCCCCGCAGATTCTTGTTTTTCACATATGCACAGACTGCATGATATGTTGTGAGGAAGATGTGCAATAAAGGTGCTTCTGCTGCCTCGCATGATGAATGAGATAACACCTTTAAAAGAGGTGCAATAACCGGAGGAGTGGCGTTCTCTATATATGCTTTATTGCTCATGATCGGTCCTAATCAAATCACATTGGAACACAATATTAATACATCCAGCGGTCTGGAAATTGACTATCGGCTCCCCTAAATCTGTTAGATACAGAATTTTTCTGTGCAAAATTGTATGCAGGTCACATCTCACCCCTGTTAGATGATCTAAAATGGACGATAACAATCAGAATTCATGCTGGTTTCACTGTGGGAATAGAAAAATGTTGTTTCAGTCTTCCTGTCTGCCCTGTGGTGTTCTTGCTTGGTCATCAGATAGAAGGAAGTACAGGTGCAACTAGAATCATTCTTCTAAACTGCACAGAACATGAGCCACCCTGGGTTTCTAAAGACTCATGAAGAGCAACATCACTCTGTCTCAGGGGGAGATATACTTGTACCAGTGGAGTGTGTGTCGAAGGAAGATTACTGCCTAATGAATGTAACTGCTTGTCACAAATGAACCACAAACTTAAAAACTAAACATTATATGTGCTTTATGTAGTTTCTCTAAATCTATTGTCCCTTCTTTGAATGTGTTTCATGGTTTAGCTTTTATGCACGTTGTTTTAATAAAAATTAGAAACATCCAGTGGGAAGAAAAGAAACTATTCGGTAGTATTTTTGTTTGTGATATATTGTGTGGCTACGTCTATCACTGTTGTCACTTAATATTCCCTGCAAAAAATAAAAGAGTGCACCAGCTCCCCATAGCTGCTAGGGTCAGTGCCAGGGATAGGATGCCATTGTTATTTTGTCCCATGAATCATGCTGTAAGTATTGTTTGGACAACTCACTGAAAATGTGCTTTGCCCCTCTGTTGCAGGTGTCTTTTTACAGAGGGGAGATTCCCAGTGAACTGCCAGAGGAAGTTGCCAGAAAGAGGAAAGGACTTGACAACCAGTGGCTTGCAACATTACCACTAAGACTTCCTGTCAGTTCAAGTGACAGATAACATTTTTTTTTAAATTCCTAATTTCAAGACAGCATAAAATCTTTTGCAGTTGTGGATTGTATTTGAAATAATAATAACATGTGCATTTTATCCTTAAATATTTTAAGTTAAAAAAAAAAAAAAGTCCTCTCCATTGACACGATGATTTCATTGCTGACAAAGTTCATATAAGCATTACATCTGTGAATACTTCTTCTTTGTGCTCTGCTCCTTGTGCTTCAGTGTGCAAGTCACCAGCTGAAAGGAACAGTGTGTATGTTTTTCTTGTAGGCACTCAACTCAGAGAACAGTTTCGTCATGGAGGAGCTCCAATATCCTCCTCTGAACCTGGGCGACCCTGAGAGCGGCTACCTGACAGAAGCCAACCTGCTGTCCATCTCTCTTCAGATAGGACAGGACTGGCGTGTTATTGGCATCAATCTTGGCTTGAGCTACCAAGAGTTGGACCGCATCCAATACAAGAACAGGTAGGAATAAAAAGCAGAGTTTAGTCAAAATTACTAAGCAGAACAAACCTCTTTGAGGGAATAGATTTTGGCATACAATATAGGCTGGCTTTTTTGTGGCTCAGAATAACGCTAGTAGAAAACACGAAAGTCTGTTTTACCTCATTTGACAGAAATATGTGCATTTTTCTGTTCTATCTGATTATTTGATGAGCAAAAAATGTCTATAACTAATGCACCAATGTCTATGCAAGAGTAAATGAATCCCTAATTAACAAAGCTGGCTTTAAAAAAAAAAATCCTATTTATTTAGTGTCTCTGTGGGCACCAAAACATTCTCTATGGAGGAGAAATCCTGCAATAACACAGTGTGAATAATAAAAGCAATGATGACAGAATTCCACTTTGCTGCTTCAGCTTCAGGGCTCTGACTCACTGACACACTGTCATGGCCTATGGGGACACTTAAACAGAGCCATGTGTTGTTGTGCTGTTCTTGCTATGATGGGTCAGAGTGTTGTGAAAACGGTCTGCCCAACAATACTGGTAATTCACTGGCTGCAAATGATATTTTCTTATTTGGTAACAAGTTATCTAAATTTACATTTGTTCTGAGGCAAAGATAGACAGATAGACTTTTGTTGAACCAGAAACGTTTAATTTCTTTTGATAATCATTTGTATCTTGACTGTAACTTACAATAACGTTGGCATTTTAACAGTGTATAAGTTCAGCAGGACTCTATAAAGGATCTATTTGCAGTTGCAATTCAGAGAGGAGGTCTGTAATAGTTAATATACAGTTAAAACCACAAGTTTACATACACTGTGTAAAAAGACATAACCTTTTTTTGTCACTGTCTGACATTAAATCAGACTAAACTTTTCCTGTTTTAGGTCAGTCAGGATTGCCAGAATTATTTGTATTTGCTAAATGCCAGAATAATGAGAGAGAGAATTTTTTACTACTTTTGTCAAAACCAGAAGTTTACATACATTAAGATTACTATGCCTTCAAACTTTTTGGGAAAGCCCAGATGATGATGATGTCATGGCTTTGGAAGCTTTTGATAGGTTAATTGACATTTAAGTTAACTGGAGGCACACCTCAAACACACAGCTTCCTTTTGTGACAAAAAAAATCAAAAGAAAACAGCCACAATATCAGGAAGAGAATTGTGGGCCTCCACAAGTCTGGTTCATCCTTGGGTCCAGATGCCTAAAGGTTCCACATTCATCTGTTTAAACCATTATATGCAAATAAACACCATGGGAATGTCCAGCCATCATACCGCTGAGGAAGGAGACGGGTTCTGTGTCCCAGAGATGAAGTGTTTTGATGTTAAATGTGCATATCAACCCCAGAACAAAAACAAAAGACCTTGTAAGATGCTGCTGAAGCTGGTCAGAGTGTCATTATCCACAGTGAAACGAGTCCTGTACCGACATGGGCTGAAAGGATTCTCAGAGAGGAAGAAGACATTACTCCAAAAGCAGCATAAAAAAGACAGATTACAGTTTGCAAATGCCCACAGGGACAAAGACCTTAAGTGTTGGAGACAAGTACTGTGGTCTGATGAAACTGAAATTGAACTGTTAGGCCATAATGACGGCCTACAAACCTGACTGAGTTCCACCAGTTCTGTCAGCAGGAATGGGCCAAAATTCCAGCAAACTGTTGTGAGAAGCTTGTGGAAGGAAACCCATAACATTTGATCCAACGCTTACAGTTTAAAGGCAATGCTACCAAATACTATGTATGTAAACTTCTGACTTTGAAGAAAGTAATAAAAAAATCTCGTTCTCATTCTGGCATTTAGCAAATGGAAATAATGTTGATAATCATAACTGAGCTAAAACAGGAAAAGTTTAGTCTGATTTAATGTAAGACAGTGAGGAAAAACAAGGTTATATGTCTTTTTATACAGTGTATGTAAACTTCTGGTTTCGACTATATGTAGATAAAGAAATAACCCCAATCACCTTCACCAGATTTTTTTTTAATTTAGATTTTTGTCAGTGAAAGCAGTTCAACATTTAAAACGGCAACAGAGATTTAGATAAAATGTAAATTTTCTGTTAAACAATCTCTGCATGAGTCAGTGATGTAATCAGTGCATGCATACGTGTTCAAAGCCTCTACGGAAACAAGATGGAGTGAGATGGCATGTAATTGGAGGAAATCCCGCAGTGGGACAGAAATGGTGGAGAATTTTGATTGTTTTAATCTGCACTGTCAGCCATCACTAAGCCATCTGGGACACTGCAGGAGATTACATGCAGGCTGATGCTCATCTGGCCCTCCCCCTTCTCCTCATGCTCAGAAAACCTCTCATGCTGCATCCTGGAGGTGGCAGAAACATGCATCATGTAAAACCATATAAAAACGGTTTTGATGCAGGATTAAATAAATGCTTTTTTTCTCCAGTATTTTTACGTCTCTGCTACAGTGTAGAATGTGCATATCTGGTTATTTGGAGAAACTAAGGCTGTGCTAATTGATAACATGTGGAATCAAAACACACATTATCAATAATTACCTTTCCACCCACTGGCAGGTCACTGCAGCTTGAGGCATGTCATGTACTTTTTTTTTGTATATGTTTGCTTTGCCTACCAGGGACAACCTTGGCGCCTTGGTGCTGGACATGCTGTTTCACTGGGCCTGGACACAGGGGGATGCAGGACCCGGGGCAGTGTCAAGGCTGGCGGCCGCTATGATAGAGAGCGGCAGAAGAGACCTGGCAGAGGAGATCGAGGACATTGTGAACATAGGAAGGCGAAAGTACTTGGAGTCACTGAGGAGAGTAGGCCTGGAAGCAGAGAGCTCCTCCCTCGGTGAAACCCAGCAGTAGATGAGCCCACGCTGGGTCCAGATGGCGGACTTACACTTGAGTAACCTGTTTGTTTACAGTGAGGCCCCATCATCTCACCCTGCTGTCTAAACAACTGTCCTGGTGCACAGAAAGTCTGTCTCTGTCACAGTCATGATAGTCAGCTACCAGCTGGCAGCACCTTTCACAAGACTTACAGAGGAACAGGTGAAATGGATGAACTGCATAATGGCCTGTGGCTTGGTTTTTTACCACTTTTAAAAATTGTGTCAGTATACAAGGCAAGCTATGGAAGTCCATTTCTGCCAAGAAAAGAAAAACACATACTAGTAATGATACAGGGCTATGTAATCATTTTAACATTGCATGCAATCATTTTGACTCAATCTGACAATTTTGTCTTTGAATTAGGGCTAAACAATGAACTGCAATATTATCAAAATAGCAATTTGGCCGAGTGCAATGTCCAAATCACAGCAGCGGCAATTTTTAGATAAAGGTAAAATGTGTCACAGCATATTATTATAAACAAAGCATTATGGTGCTACAAACATGTTTAAATCATATTCTCCAGATGTAAGGGAACATGCTTGTTCGGTGCAGATTGCAGCAAAAATGACATCATCATTTCTATGTTTGGTTCAGTGGAAATGAATTTTGAAAACATTACCAATCCCACTAAAATCATCACTCATATTGTATTTGCAATATCTGTCCTATTTATCACAATGTGATTGTTTTTATCCCTGCTTTGCATGTTATATTTTACAGAGCACTACTTTTGCTCTGATTTCGCCTCAGTATTTCAAAAGTTACATTATTGAAACATAGCACTTTACAAGTTTGACCAAGTATCATGATTTTAACTTTGTGTCTCAAAATCTTTGTTTCAGTATCTCATTATTGTGACATCTTTAATTTTATCACATCTAAGGACCAGTTCATGCTTTCTGCGTCTGTGGCCACAAGCTGATGTGCACACCGTTCTGTTCAACCTACATAGGCCAGTGATGGGCGATTGCATTGCTGCTTATATCAAACAGAGAAAATCACACAGGGTGTCTGTGGATGTTTTCAAAAGACAGGTTTGACTTTGCACTATTCATAGGATATGACAGCAACTGACAGATTGGACTGTAGCACCATGTCAGTGATTCTTGAGAATCTAGAACTTCCTGCTGTGTTTGGGTGCTGTCAATGGAAAGCATACACAAATCAAAGCTCCTCCCAAGTCTGACAGCAACTACCTCAGTTACAACTCCTTTAATAATGAATTATAAAGGTGTGAATGACAGAGAATCTTCTCATACTCCTCTTCTCACAACAAGTGTTTATTTTCCAGGTGTTTGCAGTTTGGACAGTCTGCCTGGTCACAGATTTTGGGTTGCATGCTGACTTGGGTGGATGACAGAATTTACGACATGCGTACCCTTGTGCACGCATGGAAGCGGAAAGCTTTACAGCTTTCTTTTTTTTTCTTCCCTTGGCAGAAATGGGCCTCCATAACTTTCACAGGTACCTGTTCAGGCAGAGCAAACACTGGCAGCTGTGGGACTGTTCACAGGTCTGAGAGATGCTCTGAAAGGGCCTTTTTTTTTTTTTTTTAACAGCTGATTAAATTTCTTCCCTTGAGTGCCTTTAGTCACTGAGTAATCAGCTGCAGCAACATCTCAGTAGCACATCAGGATATTTAATTTTTGTAATGTACATGTTTATATCTGTTTAACAAGTAAAACTGATATAAATTCTGTAGGTGTTGTTTTTTGTAGCATTCTGCAGGGAATCTGGTGGTGACTCGCATTTATTGCTGCACGCCCAACCTTCATCCCTGATATTTCAACTCTTACCATATTGTTTTTTTCCCTAGCAGAAATGGGCCTCCATAACTTTCACAGGTACCTGTTCAGGCAGAGCAAACACTGGCAGCTGTGGGACTGGTCACAGGTCTGAGTGATGCCTTTTTTTTTTTTTTTTTTACAGCTCATTAAATTTCTTCCCTGAGTGCCTTTGGTCACTGAGTAATCAGCTGCAGCGACATCTCAGCAGCACATCAGGATATTTAATTTTTGTAATGTACACGTTTATATCCTTTTAACTAGTAAAACTGATAGAAATTCTGTAGGTCTGTAGGTGTTTTTTTTTTTTTTGTAGCATTCTGCAGGGAATCTGGTGGTGACTCACGTTTTTAGCTGCATTCCCAACCTTCATCCCCGATATTTCAACTCACCGTTTTTTTTTTTCTTCTTTTTTCTATTTTTGTACTCAAGGTCATTGTGTAGAGATGAAACGTCACGATGACGTCGGCTCCCATCCCCCACCCCCACACTGTCAGTGCTCATAAAAAAAAAACGTGTCTGTATTTCTACTACATACCACTAGAGGACCCCTGTTTTAAATCCCCCCCGTTTTTTTTTTTATTCCTCCATCGCCAGCCAGGCTGCTCCCTCCTCCTCCTCCTCCCTCCCTGCCTGCCTGCCTGCCTGCCTGCCTGCACTCCCACCTCCTCTACCTCCCTCCTCCTCCTCCTCCGGACTCCAGAGCTACTAACGCCGGTAGGTTAGCTGCTGTCGGTCTGTCAGCCGGAGACTCTGAGTGTAAAGGCTTTGATTTCTCAGCTCCACCGCCCTGGAGGAGACCGCGGAAACGGCTCTGTGCGGTACGTACACACCGGGAGGCAGTAGAAAGTCTGGCTTCACCAAATATTAGCCGTTAGAGCCTCACCTGAGAATGAAGGTAAACGCTTGAAATGTGTAAAAAAAAAAAAAAAAAATGGAGATAAAACACTGGGTGGCATTTAAAGGCTTTTTTATTTTTTTTTAATGTGTGGTTGTCGCTTCGGTGAGAGGCGGTAAATCATTTCCCCGTTATGTGGCAGCTTCATCCTACGGTGAAGATGCGGAGTTAACGGTAACGTCGGGCCTATTGCAGAATAACGTTACGAAAGATACCGTCAATGTGCCGTTACGCTCTCAGGTGTTACCGTTATCCGTTACATGCGCGAGCGCTGCTGTATCAACTTCAATGGCTCGTGCGTTTTCAATGTTTTTTTTCAAGCTAGCTCGGTTTTGGATGTTACCGGGTCAGAGTCCGTTATTCCTGCTGCCTTGTGCCGGCTCTGTAGTGTCGGTGTAATTATCATGTGGGCTGGATGTTGGTAGTGGAGGGTAAACCCACTTAAACTGAGCCCACCTCCTCTCACCTCTGACAGCCGCAGACTGAAGCTAAACATTAGCATAGTGTCACCTCTGCAATCACGCTGCATTTTAGCTACACATCTAAGAATGAGCAATATATGTTTTTAATTTTTTTGTACTGAATATCAACGATGAGGCCTCAAACTCCCCCAACGCATACACAAGTTAAATATTCATCTGCTGAGCAAGCTGTCATGCAAACTTGCAGCAAGGCTAGTTTTAAAAATACATTTCAGTGTACGTACAGTGATGAGGCCAAGCAGTGTAATAAAGCATTCCTGCTGCCTTGAAATAATTGATGAGGTTGAGCCATTCTTGGGTGTAGGGTGACATCCTGTGCTTTCCACTGGAACTGTTCTACCTTTAAGGCCACTACATTTGCTCATTAAGCACAAAACAACAACCATGTGTTAAGAATTAGTTTAATCTACATGCACAGCTGCAGGTTTACAGGCGGAGAGCATGTTAAAACCCCAAAGGCGAGGCTTGTGTGAAATGTCACTGGTGCAGGGTATGTGCACTGAATGGGAATGATGCGTAGCAGGGATGATGGGAAGGTACTGTGCTGCTGTGAGAACCTTACAGTCATTCAGGGTATCCCTTACTGTAATCTGCAAACTGTAACCAGACACTTCAATGGTGAATTTGCCTTTTTTTTTTCTAAGGAGAGTCCACCAACAGTGGTGTTATTATTTCTTTATCAAGGCTGTAGGAAAGCTGAGACAGAGGCAAAACAGAGGATAAGAGAGAAAGCCCCAGGTGACTTTAGAAACTGGGCCACTAGGGATACCTGTGGTGTGAGAGGAAGGACTAAACACTACACCACCCCTTTGCACAGAAAGGGTATTTTTTTTTGCACTGAAAGCTTGACTTTGCCTACAGCAGGTGATTACAACAATGAATAATTGTGCCAGTTTAACGGTAACACGATGAACTCTTGTTGTAGAAATGCATTGCTGTGCCCAGATCATAACTCTGACTCCTCTGGTTGTAAATGGAGATTGCGAGACAGCTTCTATAAGTAGGCATTAGGTTTATAATCCTGATGCTGTAGGGAAGAGGGAATAGTAATCAGATTTATGTGTGGCACCACAAAATTCCTCCCTTGTTCTTGCACGGCAGTGAATGTCCAAAAATAGATCTTGTAAACCATCATTTATGAAAAAGCATGATAATAGCATCATAGCAGCTGTCAGGTTATTGTGAAAAACAGTAGATGTATAGCTGTCAGTGCAGAGGACTATTTTAAACCCACTCCTACAAATATGCACAGATTTTTCTCTGCATCTAAGTCATGTAATTCTAGCTCACAGCAGCTTTGCAATAAATTCAATTTTTATCATTAATTAGAAAAATAACAGCCCCAGAAGGAGTGATAAACTGGACAGATTGGGTTTTATATTAGATCTGGCCTCTGTGCTCTTGCAGCTCAGCGAAGTACTTGACATCTGATAGAGGATTGCAGAAACACACTTGTGTCTGAAACAGGGCTCAGTGCTGTTCTTTGCCGATGGCTTCGAGTTTGCAGAGTGGTAATCAAACCAGTCCACGGGAGACAGATGGACTGGTAACAACAGCCTGGACGACGCTCACGAGGAGGGCTCGTGTGATTTTCTGTTCATTACTGTCTTTTCACCTCGCCACAGTCACGTGAGCTGAGTGCTGACTTCCACAGTGCTTTGTCACTATAGCTACTCACTTCCTTTTATCATTCACCCAACTCACTGTCGTTTAGTCAGCAAGACCTTCACCCTGTTGGCACTCGAGAACAAACAAGCAGCCAAGGAGCTGTGATAGGCAAGGTAATTTTTTTTCTCTGGTTGATTTGAATGAAAGCAATGCCATTTGCATTCAGTTTTGCATTGGAAATAAACTGGGGTGGATTTGTGTCTGGATTTTCAGTATCTGTAGGATTATTATTATTTTTATCTTTCAGTAATTCTATTGTGAGTGAGATGTGCCTCAGGGCAGATTAGTACCTCACTCCTTCACTGAATGTTACCAGCACATATACAGTTTTGTCAGTTTTTTTTAACGCACCTCCAGTGTGCATACTTACTTGTATTGTTGGAAGCAAAAACATTTGATTCTTGTGAGTTTAGTGTGTCTACAAACTGAATACAAACATGCATCTGTAAGATAATTTAGTTATCTTTGTTTAAAAATTGTTAATGCTCCTCACTTTTTTGAAAATCACATAAAAGCAGTGAAGAGAGGTTGTATAAAATTTCACTGTTCCTAGATATTGTCATCATCATTAGAATACAACACATTTTAAGTCTTATTCTTTTAATTATTGAATTTATCAAATTATTTAGTCTTATTTGTAATTTAGATTTAGTTTCTTATTTGCTTTTATTCTAGCATTTTATTTAAGCAGTCAAACAAATTTTATTATAATGTAGTACTTTAAATTATGAACCTTAATTAATGATAGCTGAATGATTTTTTCCCCTTTCAGGAGAGGAAATGACCAAGAATCCCATTTATGACTGCCCCCTACACTGTTCTTTTGTATTGCATATAAAATGTGGTATCGTTCATAAACTGGATGCAACATATTACTCTGCTGCAGCCTCTGCCCCGCCTTGGTGAGAGCACATGGACTGAAGCATTAAACTTAAAACTTTGGTCCAAGATCGGTTCAAGTTTTTTGAAATAACTTTTAGCAACAGGCTTCATGTAGATTGCTGATGTGTTCTTGTCAGTGAGGTAGGGTTGATTACCCCATTGTTCAAGTCCAACTGATGAACAAGCATCAAAGGTCAAGGATCTGAACTGTTATCTGTCTCATTCGGCACCTGAACTCTCGACTGAGTCTTTCATCAAGTGTGTCTAATGGCTGGTTTACAGGTGCCTGGCTTAAGTAGTTAAACTCAAGGTTCTGCATATTGTTTACTCATCATTGCTTATCAGCTTTAGTGATATAGACTCAAAATATGACCTCAGTGCAAGTGTGTGTGTGTGTGTGTGTGTGTCTGTCTGGAGGCTGGTTTACCAGTCAGTTTTGCTGCATTTCATTGTCTTGTTTGCCTGAAGTAGTTCTCCTTAATATTTATGTAAATTTTAAAATGGCTTTAAACCAATCTAGGGGTGTGCTCATGTGAGGTCTGAAGAAAAGTTCCACAGCAGCTTCGTGACTCTTTAATTTCAGTCATGCTGGGAGAATTAAAGAAAAAAAAAATCCTTGGAGATTTGGTTGATGAGCAATGCCTCTTGCTCTGGACGCTGCACACAGAGGCTAGTTGTTTCCATACAGACACCAATTGTCATGACAAGACACTGCAGCCAGGCTATGACTGGGGGTCAAATAAATGTCCTGGTGCAGACACAGTGGTGTGGTGTAGATAAAGCGAAGTGGACGAGTGAAGCTGCAGGCATGGAGGACGAGGAGGGAGTTGTCAGTTTGATGGGTGACTCATGTGAGACGGTAGTGATCTTTACAACCCATACATTTTCTCCTCTGTCCAGAACATATAGTGTACTTGGAATTATGATTTAAAGCGGTGTCAGAGTGTTAAGCAGCTCGTGATAAATGGCTAGGGCAAGATTTGTCGATGGAGGTGAACTGTGAAGCTCCTGGGAGCAGAGAGGAGGACGCTGCCCAGCAAACAGACACCAGGGAGGTGGTTCATTGACCTGCTCTGACCCCTCCCTCCTACACCTCTGGAGCCACCGCCGAGGGCCTCAAGTCCCCATCCAAACTAAACACACCAGACTGCAGCTGCGCTCATGCCCAGATACAGTCAACGGAAACCTAAACATCCACCCCTGCGGTGCAATCTCGCTGGGAGAGGATCTGAGAGATTAGCAATATCAGTGTGGTGCGACTGAACGTATATGCACTTTACAAAAAAACCCCTCAAGTCAGCAAAGATCTGTGTAGGAAAAGCTGTGTTTGAGAGTCGTGACTCGTGACTGAGGGAAATGATGGGGGAGGGCCGGTGGTGAGGAGGGAGAAGGAGGCGGGCTGCACACGCACAGGCAGGTCGCGATTGGTGGATGGAGGGGGTGGAGAGAATAAATGGGGAAATGGGAAGCATCTTTTCACAGTGAGGGCATTCTGTACCAAAAATAGGGAGCATCTTGGCTACATCAGACACTTTTCATCTGTTTTCTCAAAAGTAGCCTGCAGAGGACCGAGCTTCCACTGTGTGACCCCAGTTTCACGATGAAAGCGCTTATGCATAAAACATGAGTGTTCAAGGGCACGCATGACGCACAGATGTTGCAGTGGTGATAGATTTGTTTAACAGAAAGTAATCCTCTACAGCGATGGCTAAGGCTCTACTTACTGAGGAAGCTGTCAGTAATGCTGCATAATAATGCTTCACTATGTTGTGCCACTGTCCTTGTTCTAGGCCGTATACAGTCTTTATATGACAGAGGACTGGACTCTAAGAAATGACATGCAAGACATTTGAGAGTAGCGAGTAACATTTTTTATAATGCATCAGCAGTGAAAGTCCTTATTTAAGCAAAAATGCCAAACATTATCATGAACTTCCTTTTACTGCTCTTCTTTGTCTTATGTGATCATAAACTGAGAGTGCTGCTCAGACCTTTCACCCCACTGGGCTGTATTTTGTTATATCTTCATTCATTCATTTATTTGATTTATTTTAGACATGCCACAGCATCATAAAGACAAAAACGAAAATAAATTCACCTACATCATTGCACCTGGGAGTCGAGTCATACAGTTCTTCTTACTGCATTACAGCCCCCAACACTCCCTGGGGAGGTTTTTATAATCACTCTGCGAAACCTCCATTTTCCCTGAACACATTAAAACACAAAGGCAGCATTTTTGGAAACTGTTCTGGAAAAGCTCCATTTTGGCATGAGGGAATTAGAAAATGGTTCTTTGTGGACAAATATCCGACAGAAAGAGATGCATTTTGAAATTGTACGGGCTTTATGTGGTCCGACATACTTGCAATTTCTGTGTGATGTGTGGCTTACACAGAGTGGAATGAACTCTTGACTGAAGTCAGGACCGCAGAGTCACTGACCGTCTGCCACCATAGGCTGAACACCTGTTTTCAGGAAGCACAATGACGCTAGCGCTCCCACCTTTCATTTCACTTTTGAAAGGAAACGAACTAGAATGTTTTAAGTTTAAATTGTAGTTTCTGATGATCTGTAGTTCCTTTTGCATTTAAAAATCATTATCATAATAAGTCACTTTGAACAAAAATGCCAAAAACAACATTATGTAAGACACCAAGCGTAGCACTTAGTGAATTGTGAGGGTATTTTCTAACATGTCCAGACTCATTAATAAATTAAGAGAGCAACTGGTAGTAAAAACAATCATTAGTTGCTGCTCTAACCAGCTGACATTTTTTGCGGTAACTTTTATTTAAGCAAACACATGTTGAAATGTTTGTTGAGGCAACAATGCTGCATTTGAACTTTTGAAATGTACTTTTCAAAGTGCTTCTGTTGACCTTCTGAGAGTGTTAACTCTGAACATTTTGTGTTTCTTTACAGATACCCCCCAACTAGCAATAACTGCAAGGAGACAAGTGGACAAAACATAATCCCTCTACAGAATCCCACTTGGAGAGCAGAACACTACTCCTAACACGCAACAAAAGAAAAGAACGGCACCTGAGTGACCAGCTAACAGACACGTTGAACTTTGACCAGCCGGGGCTTGAGATAAATGGCTGACAAGCAGATCAGGTGAGACTGAAAGTGGCTGCAAAGGTTTAAAGCAAAAACAGTGAATTTGCTTTTAACCTACTAAACTTTCACATTTGATTTTTTTTTCTCTTTTTCTCATGGTCATGCAGTTTGCCTGCCAAATTGATCAATGGGGGGGTCGCTGGCTTAATCGGTGTGACCTGTGTGTTTCCCATTGACCTGGCCAAGACTCGCTTGCAAAACCAGCAAAATGGATCTCGCCTTTACACCAGCATGTATGAAGCATTTGTATTTTAACTTTCACACATGTACAGCTCTCTACCTGGACTATAGTCAGAATTAATTAGTATTATTGCTCAGCTTTTCAGGCACGACTTTGACTAATATATACCACAACTGCTGTATGTGTGTTACAGGTCAGATTGCCTTATTAAGACCATCCGATCAGAGGGGTATTTTGGGATGTACCGAGGTAAGGTGGAGGAAAATGAGGAGCATCTCAGCCATTTGGTATCTTAGGATTTTAGCTTCATAGTGAAGCTACAGACATCAAATCCAGCTGTCTGTGTGTGACTGTACAGGTCAGAGAAAATCCTTCCACTGAAAACCATCTAATTGTTTTGTCTTCTTCTTCTGGCTCTCTGTCCTTTTTATCTTCCAAGGCGCTGCGGTGAACCTGACACTAGTCACGCCAGAGAAAGCCATCAAATTGGCCGCTAACGACTTCTTCAGGCATCACCTCTCCAAGGATGGGTGAGGCATGAAAGCGCTGACAGGATGACTGACAGAAACCCACTAGCCTCAGCGATTAACCAGCGTGTTTACTAACATATAACCTGACACATTAGCTGTCTGTATTCTCACCACGATTCCTGTTAATCCTCCAACTTCCTGTCATCTCCTCCGAGGCGCCTCGCATTTCACGATGATTTGTTAACTGCCTGGCTTATAAATAGAGATTTACTTGCACATGTGTCAGCAAATGTTGTGTCTGAAATCATGGAGGAAAAATTAGCACATCATGGTATCACATGTCAGACATTAGCAACCATCGTCTGGTGCTGCTGAAAACGAGCACCCATTGTCCACCATAAGCGCCGTCTGCATAGATAAACCCGATGCTTTCTGGGCCATCTGTCTCCATCTCTATGGTGACAAACATGCAGCCTGATGAATGATTGACTTGTCTGGCCTAGCTGCTCGCCTTGTAAATTATTAATCTGCCCTTGTGCCTGACATGTTGATATGGAAGACAAAGATTAGCATCACCAGCACCGGTGGTGACAACTCCTTCTCTGAGGACTGTGGAAATAAAGTTGTCTGGCACTCACACTGTCAGTCGAGCATGTGCTTTTATCTGATCTTACTTTTTATCTTCTTTTTTCCTCCAGAAAACTCACTCTGTTCAAAGAGATGCTGGCTGGGTGCGGGGCAGGTACATGCCAGGTGAGTGAGTGAGATGCTGCTTTAATTGCATCCTCCTGTTCTCCATCTGGAACTCCCAACTTTAGTGCTGCCAGAGTCAGATCACGTAAAGAAAAACTGCCGACGCCTCATTGGTCTGCTAAATTAGCACCAGCCGCATTTAAATGCGAGGTGGTCGTCATAGAAACGTGCTTGGAGTTTGTCTCTGTAGATTGTGTTATCTGGGATCTGAATGTGACCTGTAACGTTCCATTTTAGTGAATGATTTCTAATCACTGAAATGTTGTCCCGTTAGCAGGCGATACACTGGCAGTGAGATGTGAGTGATCAGATAAGACGTTGTGAGAGTGCTTGGCCATGTGCACTGAGTGAGTGAGTCACAGGGAAATGCCTGTTGTCAATGAGGGCAAAGGCTTCAAGCCCAAGGAGCGTGATTAGATTAAGTGTAGCAGGCCTTGGATTAAGATTGCGAGTGAGAACATGGCCATCTCACCCATAATCCAGTTAACTAGTTACTACTGTGTGGATTACAGAGCAAAACAAGGGCTGACATTTTGCTAATGGATGCCAGTAGATTTACACTGGACCTATGTCTGTCCTGACACACACAGTACAGCCCGAAACTCCGACTTCCAAATGAGTTGCATTGACATGGACAAGAGGCCAGTTGATTTATTCATAGTGTACATATGCAGACACTGTACTTGACACCATTGTTTTGCTTTTGTTGCAGGTTATTGTCACAACTCCTATGGAGATGTTGAAAATCCAGCTCCAAGACGCTGGACGAATTGGTAAGAGGAAATGAAATTCAGATGGTGGTTAAGCAAAGAATGAAGTATTGGTTACACGCTGGAGAAACAGGGGCCTCATGTGGTCATGTCAGGCATTGCAACAGTTTTATCCTTGTTTCTTTTTGCTGTTATAAATTCAAAATGTCTCCCCATATAACTGTTTTTAGCATAGGGTGACTCTTGTAGCTTGTTTTCAAAACCTTTTTTGTAATTAATGTTGTTTCTTGTGCGCCACAGCTGCTCAGAGGAAGCTGATGCCAGAGACGGTGGCAGCAGGTACTGTGGAAACCAAGTCTCCGACAGCCATGCAGCTCACCAGAGAATTACTGAGGGAAAAGGGCATTGCTGGGCTGTACAAAGGCCTTGGTGCCACATTGCTCAGGTGAAACAGATCTGGCAACCGGGCGATCATTATACCATCAAACAGCAATGAATTTCTCAAGAATTACTGTGATTGTCTGTCTTTGTTTTCGTAGGGATGTTCCTTTCTCTATCATCTATTTCCCCCTTTTTGCCAACCTGAATGAGCTGGGAAAAAGAGGCGCAGAAGGTCCTGCTCCTTTCTACGTGTCCTTTATATCAGGCTGCCTTGCAGGGAGCACAGCGGCTGTTGCTGTCAACCCTGTTGATGGTGAGCAGTGGGACTCTGAATTCAGCAATGTGTGCGCTCATTCTTGATGTTATATGCTCACTTGAACTCATTGTGTTGCAGTTATAAAGACTAGACTGCAGTCCCTGAACCGAGGGAGCACAGAAGACACGTACAGTGGAGTGACTGACTGTATCAGGTGACCTCATTATGTCTTTACTGGTGCACCCTGTGTGAGGCTGCGAGTGTAGTCCACCTTAATGTCTGTTGGCACGTCACTCGTGCTGGTTGTGGGTTTCAGTTTATGTAATGACCTTCTGTTTGCTCTCTAGGAAAATCATGCGTAACGAGGGCCCATCAGCTTTCCTGAAGGGAGCCTACTGTCGAGCCTTGGTCATTGCACCTCTGTTTGGCATCGCCCAGGTGGTCTACTTTCTGGGTGTGGGTGAATTTCTTCTCAGCTTCTTGCCTAAAAAAGACAACTAAGAAGCATCTCCTTTCTGCCTTCCCCCTCCCATAATGCATCACACCAACTACGTGAGGATTCATCTCATTCTGAAGGAAATTCTCGATAGGTCATAGCATGACCAGTCAGTGTATTTTGTTTTAAATCTGTTATGTTGAATGTTAAAATGTTAAATAGTTCAGGAGGGAGCCTTTGTTTGCCAAGCTGCCTACGGTGGCACACAAAATTCCAGTCGGCAGGCTCAGCTAGCTCTCTGGAAATGAAGCCACAAATATCAGTTGAAGTTTTAAAAGGATTATTGCTTTATCATTTCAACATTTTATTGCATTTTTGAATATGATTGTTGAATTTTCAAAGTAGATGTACTGCCCTCGGTTGCTGCAGTTCTGCAAACCCTACAGTACCTAATTTCTTAAATTCCATTAGCCTTTTAATGACAGAGAAGACCTTAGCAATCCATTTTAAATTATAAATTGTAATTAGCTTAAATTAAAAAATGAAATGCACAGTCTTTACTTAGAAAGATATTTGAGAATATTACGTCTGGTAAATTGTTGTTTTCCCCAGATCTTGTGTCTTAAAAGTTAACTCACATAGAATTAGAGTAAAAGACACGCCTGCGTTTCAGACAAAGACCCAGGCACAATGTGTTGATGTGATACCAGCACAGATCCCTATGATCTTTCCTGAGAAGCCACATCCCTTCCTGTAAGTGGTTGTAATGAACTCAGCCATTCAGCTCTGAGCACACTTTGATTGCCTTGGCTTTTTACGTAGATCAGGTTCCATGTGATATTTAGTGCTACCACAATGGTTCGGCTGTTTTAGCTCCTTGAAAGACATCTCAGATTCATGGTTACACACTGGACTGAAGCAACATTGTACAACATTTGGGCATTATCAACAAAAAGATGCATGTTCCCACTGGTTAAACCTGATACAGAATCACACACACACACAAAAAACTGCTGCTACATGACTTTCAAAACTGTACATCATGTTGTACCTCTGACCACACCCTAATCAGGGATGTAGCAGCAGGAGTTTTGCCTTTGTGAACGACGGGAAACACCTGCTGTGACATCACTGATTGGATTGTGGCCCAAAGTGAGCAGCGGTTTTCTGCCATGTGTGATTCGTCGTGGATTCAGATGAAAGCATTGGTTGTGAACACTAAATGGGCTGAAAGTAATTTTAATAGAAAGCCACATTATTAGCAATTATGCTGACAAATGGTCTGACATCACCTGCTGACATGTGCGGGTACAGTCATCCATTGTGGAGCCACTAAGTCAGGAGCAGCTCATGCCCCTTAGATACACACCTAATTAATTTTGTTTACAGTTGAATTTTAATTCTTTGTCCAAACTTGAATTCAGTGGCAGGACCCAAAGAGCTAATGAAAAACCATTCTTTATCACAGAAATCAGTACCGATGTGTTCTCAGTGTTCTATGAGTTTTTTTACCAAACATCTCTGCTTGTTTGCTTTAGAGGTTTTGTTTGCTTTAAGCTGCGAGGGAAAGCAGCCCTGTCCTATCTTGTTTATGCATCACAACAACTGAAAGCCCTGCCATTGGTTTATCTCGTCGGAGATCAAGGTGACTTTGATGTGTGTTATCCAATCACATTCCTTCCTTGCTCCCACTCTTCAAGCAGCTCGTCAATTGTACTGTTGCACTGTAGACACACGATGCAACTTTTCAATGTAATATCATTCGTGGGAGTGAGCTTTATTTATCAAGATTCCTTTCTATAGGCAGTATAGCACTATATATTTGTATGTGTCGTTTTTTTTTCTGTGTCAAAGTGTCCACCTTAACTATATTGTACATATGCAGATGATATGAACTTTATGTTATAGGATTTATTCTTTGTTTTGTACATGATGGCTTATTTGCACACCTACCTCTCCAGCTCCCCCCTTCCCCCCCTTCAATTCATATCGTGGTGATTTTATGTTATGATGATGTGGACATATCAAATGAAGTAATTTTAATGCAACAAGCATCATTTGATTTTAAATGCAGCATATTAATGAGGTTTTTTATTTTACTGTATGCAAAGGGGAACACTAGTTTAGATCTTGTTCGATGGTTTTCTTGGAGGTGCCATTTCTCTCGAGCGGTTGGTTAAGTGTGTGGGTCAACCGGTTTCCTACTGTTTAATCACCTGGGACCAAATGAAGCATCGTATAATGCTCGTAGACATGTAGTTAGTTTTAAAGGGAATGACTTATGGCACAGTTATGGAAATGAAATGTAATATGCCCTGGACAAGGCCAGTAGGGACCTGTAGTCACCAGGCTGTAATGTAGGTCTGTTTGAATGGTGCTTCTCTCACGAGGCTGCTGCAATATAACGGTGGCAGCGCTAACGACCAAGGCTGTACTGACTGAATCACATGTGAGCTAATCTCAGCGTTCTCAATGTTTTACCTGAAAGCCATAGGTCAGGGAGGGACTACTAGACATCCACTGGCACCTCCAGCTGTGACGGCACAAGCTGAGCCAACTCGGCTTCATTAGATTACTTGTTGTAGTTTGTTGACATTCCGAGTTCATCTCATATACGCTAATATTATGATCACAATGCCTATTTTTTGTGTGTGTGTGTGTGTTATTGAGATTATTGTCGATTAAGATCTTTTGAACCCCCGCACCCCTCCCCTCACCGTTTTTAATCTGTTTTTCGGTTGAATCTTGAAAATGTCGTGCGAGTCGTTTTGTTTTACTCAGCTGTGAATTTCCACTGACCTTGTGCATTTGGTTCTGTATGTGTGTCTGACGGTGTAGTGCTGTAGTTGATGTGTAGTCGTTAGTGTGACTCTGCAGTATTTTTCTCTTTAATTGTCAGTCCGATGCTCTCTCTCTCTCTCTCTCTCTCTCTCCCTCCCCTGTTTTTCATTCTATCTGTCACACTTCCTCTGCCATCTACTCTATCCAGCATCCACCGCCAGGGTGCAGGGTAAACACAGAGGAACTTTTAAAACACCAAATGTATGACTTAGAGTGTATACAATCAAAGAAAGCACAAAGGATTATTAGGCACAAGAGACCACGTGGCCCACTTTCGAGTTCTTGGAAATCCGTGTGCTGCTTTTGCAGATATGAATATTATTTCTGTGCAGATGTTGATTGAAATGAACTTTATAGTCTTGTAAGAAAAGTTTATCTTTGTCTGTAAAACTGGATCCATAGGGCTGAGACGACAGGTCATTATAAGAGACCCACGCGATGGCGTCCACTATGTTACCCCATCAGCAGTTATCCACAAAATGTATATCGCCTACATATTCTAAATGAATCAGATATAAGAATGTAACTTAGATATTATAAGATGTATTATAATTATAGTGAAGAGTTTATTACATTTTAATCTAAAGATTTGTGCTTTACACGTTCACTGAAAAATTCATGAACCAGCTCACTGATATGCAATAAGTAGAAACCACACACAGACACACCACGGATGGAAAAAGACAAAAAAAAAACACACAGAAAAGAAAAACACCTGTCAATCACAACATCACTCAATGTATGAATAATGCAACTGGGGACCTTGGAGGCCTTTTGGGGTCTGAGCTCACTTTAGGCCTCTTTTCTCTTCCTCCAAGAGGAATTGTGCATCATAGCACTTTAAAACAAGGACCCCCCACCCCCACTGTCCACCTATGAAGTCTCTCTCTATGACGTAGAGGGTGTTTATGAATATGTGTGGTGAATGACACAGTTGTCCCAGACATTGTTTACAATGCGATGGAAAAAAAAAAAAAGAAGAAAATATTGTGTTCCCTGTCACAATTTGCTGTTAAATAAAATGACTGTCCTTAAATCGACTGATGCAGTGTTCTGTGCCGAAGGTTATACTGTGTTTTTCCCCCCAGCTGCTTATCACTGTATTTGCTTTCAAGGTTCAGCAGTCGTCTGACAGAACACAAAAGAACTGACACTGCGTTTTTTTTTGTGTGTGCCCGTAATAGTGCTGTGAAAACTAAACAGCAGGGCGATGTTTTGAAGACTGCCAGGATGACATTGTGGCTCCTCGGGGCAGAGGAGGAGCAGCTGCCATGATTCGCTGCCTCGTGGAGCCACCAGGTGTCAGTGTGGGGTCGCGGTAGAGCCCGAGTCCTGCTGCTGTGGAGGGGAGTGGGGAGAGTGTCAGAGGCGCCTTGCACTACAGGTGTGTGCTAAGCTTGGGTGGTGTGGCAGCAAATCACGCGCTCTGATCTCACTCCCTCAGCTATCTTTTTCTCAGTCGTGCTCGCTTTTGTATCTCCAGCAGCTACGGAGCTCGTACACCAGCACGCATCTCACTCACCTGTGATCTCAATGGTTTCACTTGATAGACACGGTCTCCGTTAACTTGCACGATAAGAAGGTGGAAATGTGTTTTTCCTGTGGATTTCACCTCCTGTTTTGGGTTTTATGTTTCCTGCACGTTTTAGTAGAACTGATGTTGTGACAGGGGTTTATTCATTATTAATCCTCTGCTGTTTTATGCACTCAACATTAGTGCTTATGGCTTTAGTTTCCAGGGTGCTGTTTCTCAGCACCCTGCAGCAGTATAATTACATCATAGCACCTTCATATACCCCTGCATGCACACACACACACACACACACACACACACATAGCCAGCACACACTCCTGCCTGTCTGTATGTCGCTGTATTCTGATCTTATTGCAGCCAGAATCAGATTTCGTATTGAATGTTGTGCCTCTTTCAGAGACTCCTTTCATCAGACTATCTACTCCAGTGTTTACACACACAAGAGATTAGCCGAAGGCTCAGTTTACCACAATGACAAGACTTTGAAATATAGAAATGAGCACCAGCCACTGTTCTTCTGCTCACTTAAATCCTTTTCATGTGTCATGACTTAAGCTTCCACCGTGAACTATTATTAGTCTTTTCTTGCTTTCTAGCAAGAGGAGGGGAGAAGGTGGAGGAAGAGGTAGTCTTAAGTTGAGCTTAAAGGGAAAGAATGATGGAGAGGGGAAAAAAAAAAGGGAAATCAAGAGGTGGAGACGGTAAAGGACCATCGACAGAAGGAGCACAGAGCCGGAGGAAGGGAGGGGACGGTGGTGATGTGTATATAGGTCACTAAATCAATGGGAATCAGGTTTTTGAAGGGGAGAGAAGGGGGTATTTATAGATACCAGTGGAGACAGATGCATCAGTGACAGGCACAATGTTGCTGGGAGCACAGGGGTGGGGTTGGGGGGTGGAGGCGAAATCTGGGAATAGACTGTGGTCAAATTAGTCTGCGGAGAATTCTCCTAACAAATGGCAAAAGATTCTCAGTAGTGAACAAATAGCATGGAGCGCACTGCAAAACAAAATATAATCAAATGGAAATCACTGCAGGATGCTTTGAGCAAATGACCTTCCCGGCTCTATTGACAAAACGCAGGCAAACCGCACAGCATTTGCATCTACAGTACAGCTCTACTCATATCCTATTGAATTTCTAATCGGTGATATCAGAGCGTCACGTGATTGAACGGAGTATTAGCTTTCTGTTTCGCAGGCTTGTAAGAAAAACCTGCATATTTATTACACCGGGAGCCACCGGAAGACCGTGGAGTACAACAAAACATCACAGGAGACACCGTTAAGGTTTCACGACGGAGGGAATCGGTTGATCAGTGTCCATTTAATGATTTTCAATTCATTATCATAGATTAATTACACAACTTCTGGGTTAACAGTGACTGCCAAGTGGCCCACGTGTTGATGCGGGCTTCATGCTGTAGTGTTAATACTGTCATGGCTTATCCCATTTATTTTATAATGCTCCATGTCTCTGTCTCCCAGCTTCATGCAACAAGAAGTTCCATCGCAAATTGGAAATTTGCTCAGAGAACAAGAAGAAAAATAATTGGAGAAATAGTTTTAAATTGCTTTCTAACTGGGTTTTTCGAGGACTAAGTCAAGGTCATGGACAAACTGTTCCTTCTCCACTTACAGAGCTGCCTTTGTGTGATGTAAGACAGCCTGAATACTGAGCGGTAAAATAATCTACATCTCATTTCTGCATCTAATTTAGGGAGTATTTGCATAGCAGCCACATCACCTTGCATCACAAACTGGCAGAGGACGCACACAATTACTCCTCGAGAGCTCTTAATCTCTGCCCTACGCCTAATAATGTGTTTAGTAGACTCGCGCAGGACGGTGTCCTACATTGTCCTGCCACACCATATAAAACAGGGATATGGATATGCGGCAGGTGGGGTGAAGTGACAGGACCAGATGGGTTCCAACTTCTCTCGCATTATATCAATGTTTACTGACGGAGAAGCAGAATTTTCAGAGGATTTAACAAATTGATCCATTAAAATGTGTCAGTCAGGCTGCAGTATGCTGTTGCTTTAATGAATAATTTGTCATACTGATGTCGAGGAAAGCAATTACATATATATTTTCAAGTACTTTACTTGAATATTTGTATTTTTTGTCAGTTTAGCGTTCTACGACTATAATCATATGTCAGAGGGAAATATTGTGCTTTTTACTACTCGACATTTATTCATAAGTACTGAGCTGCAGCCCCATAAATATAAAATGACTAACGATTGTTGTAGATCAATCTGTAGATTATTTTTTCAATTGATTATTTCAATTGTCATACAAAAATGACAAGCATCTATTACAGTCTTATCCAACTTACCCAACTGTACCATTCGGTTTACAGCGATATAAAACAGGGAAAAGCCTGAAATGTTATCACAATAGCTAATTTTCTGGCAACCTGCACTATTTTACATATAAAACTTATAATCATGTCACAAAATGTCATGTATTTTTTGAAGGGTTAAGCACATCAGCCAGGTACAACATAAACTCACTACTACAATACTCACTTGATTTTGGAGTAGTTTGTCTCGTCTACTCTTTAGTACACTTTAATTTTGCATCTGCCTCTTGAGACTAATACATTGCTAAGAAAATTTTATTATATAGCCTATAATACAGCCTTCTGAGAGACTGAATTTCTGCATAATGAGTACTTTCAGTTCTTACGGCTGCAGGCGAAAACCATGTTTTTTCATGCACTGGTCTATTTTCAGCTTTTTTTTTTTGCTTCTCTAACATGTCTTCTTGCAGACTAGTGGAAAGAAAACATCCAAAATACACAATTGGGTGTTCATTTAGCTACTTTTTGTATATTTGTGGTTGTAGATTTCAATCAAAAAACATATCTTTAAATGCCATTTTCTCGAAAAGATTTTTTTCCTGCACACTTTGAGCGAGAAATCTACACTTCAGTCACACAAACATACACCAGACTCTCCAATTGTACTCCGATCTGTATTCAGAAGGTTTTTTTTTACAGAGGGGTTTGTTCACATACCAATAATAGTCTGATTTATAGGACATTCATTCCTAAAAGCAGGGCGAAAATTGTTTTTTCTCCCCTGGCTGTTGACAGTATTTTCTGATTTATAGACTGCTAAAAAGAGATATTCCCCAAATTTCATATCAGTAAAAAAAAAGGCTTTAATATGTCAACAAAATGAAAGAAGAAAGATATAAAGACTTATCTTTATACCTTCAAAGTGAAATGGTTACTGTTTTGTTCTATTCAACTAAGTCGCTCACAATACAATACACAGAGTTAAGGCTGCCAGATTTCGGGTAACCCTGATGTCTCCGATGTAAACTTTGACCTTGCTGGATTATAAACTAATACACAACATAATGACTTCTAGAGGAGATCCCAAGATTGTTTAAAGATACCTGACACATGAGTCGCAGTTTTAGGAAAATGCATGATTATCCATTTGAAAGTGAAAGTTTAAGGGAGGCTTTAATGAGTTAATGTGACCTTAGCAGGCTTTTAGTCATAGTATTTGTTTTTATGATCAGATTTCTCTTCAGGAAATGAATCCAAATTAGATAGGGAGAGACTCATTAGCATATTTAAACATTGTATTTCAGGACAGGTGCTATGAAAAAAAAGTCTTTATGTAAGTAATCAGCTGAGGAAGTTTCTTGTTGATACCCTATTCACCTGCAGTGTCCTGTCTTAATTAGACCCTTTACCTTAATTAAATGTCATTTTGAATGCAGGATTTTGCTTGTAATTTACTGCTTTGCTACTTTTACTTCGTTAAAAAAAGAAGAATCTGTTAAAGAGATTAACCCATGTTGCTGGATCCCATCGCCGCGTGCGTCATTACGCGCGAGGCAATATTTCAGAAATGATAAATGGATGCACAAACGGAATCAAGGATCGCACATGGCAGCAGAGCAAACAGGCTGAGGAGACTTTACACAGCTGCAAAAGTCACTTTCCCCATTTTGTCCTCTGAGCCACAGTGTACGGTGGTTATTAGAGAGAGAGAGAGAGAGAGCGAGAGAGAGAGAGAAGGAGGCAGAGAGAGAGAGAGAAGGAGGGAGAGGAGAGGAGAGGGAGAGTGTCTAACTGGTTAGCCTACCTATCCACTAGGAGGAGAGGAGAGGCTGCTGAGGAGCAACACAACAATAAACAGCTACTACTACGAAAAAAAGAAAAAAAAGAAAAACCACCCCTCACATCAGCGGAGTTCACGACACACGCCAGAGGAGTACCAACACATCAACGCCATCGCATCTGCCTCGGAGTCAAGTCACAGCCATGTATCTGAACAGGGAAGAGGACAACAGCAAAGGTAAGATCCTGTCAAGAATTTGCCACTCTTTTCTTTGTTGCGAAGAGACAGTTTCAAGGTGTTTCATCCCTGACCTGCTGTTTCCTCTTTGGAGCCGAATAGGTGGAGGGATGCTCAGTCTCTCACACACCCCTTGATCTCATTTATCATTATTATTAGTAAAAGAAAAAAAAAAACA